CTCCTGTCTTCTTGTTGTGCTACAAGGGTAAACTTCTCCTCTTAAGCTTGTTTGTTGTATGCTAGCTTAAGCCACCTTTCCATGCTTATTTTGGCCTAGTTGTCAACTACAAAAAAACTCTATTTTTAAGTGTTAAAGATGGTTGTTTAAGGCTTTGTGGGAGTTGGGGGTGTTTCATCCCCTTATATGCCTTATTTGCTAAGCTTTTGAGCCTTTCTCTCTAAGCTTTTGTTTCTTTCCTTGCTTGCCCTTTTTACCACTGAAACTCAGAGAAATTTCAATGGTAAAAAGTTGCTCTTGTGGTCCAAAATAGGAGGGGGTGGTCCCCCTCCTCTTTTGTCTTGCTTGCATGCATTGTTGGCTTCATACTTGAGCATGCTCTTTTACTCTTTTATGACCTAGCTCAAGCTTGTTTTGTTGACTTGTGGGATCTGCCCTAGCTCTGTTTTTGGTTGGTTTGCTCATTGGTTTCTTGTTTCTTACGTTTGTAGTGTAATCCTTGCAAACTAGCCTTGTATGCTTAATGTTTTAGCTCATCTTTCTAGCATGTGTTGGTACCATTCCAACATGTTTTTGGTCATTATTTACCATGCCTTAACTTTGATTTCGGTCGATGGAGTCACTTCTTGCTTGGTTTTTACACATGTAGTGTAATCCTCTTTATTGGCCTAGTGTGCTCCATGCTTCATCCCTCTAATCCTAGCTTGTGTTAGCTCTATCTCAGCATGTATTTGCTATTAGTTTGACCTGCCTTAGCTCTGTTTTGAGTGGTCTTGGCCATGTGGGGCTTGTTGTGCATGGTTGTAGTATAAGGGCTTTGACTAGCTTTGAGTTTCAAAGACCTCTTGCATGCTTACTTGTGATGATTGCATGCCTTAGCATCATTTCTCACATGATTTTAGTGTATATAGCATAGTCGCACTCACACATATTCCACTCTTTCATAGCTTTTGTGAGTTGTGCTTTATGCCTCGTTTATGGGCCAATGCGTATGCATGCTTGTCTAGGCTTTTAAGCTCCCATCCCAGCATGTTTTGGTCTTTGTTTTAACCTAATTGAGCTCTGTCTACGGCTGGTTTAATCATTTGTGCCATGTATTGCATCTCTCTCGCGTAGTTCACTTTACTAGACTTGTGCCTTAGGCCTTCTAGCATGCCTTATTTGTGGAGTTTATGTGATATGGCATCATTTCTCACATGATTTCAGAGCATATAACTTTCATAAACTCTCATGTTTATTACTCTTTAATTATGTTTAAGAGTTGTGCCCTTATGCCTTGTTGATGAGCCAATGCATGAGCATCACCATCTTGCCTTTCATGCTATCATTTCAGAGTGTTTTGGCCACTATCTTGGCATGCTTGAGGTCTATTTAGGGCTAGTTTAGTCCATTGAGCATTGCATTGCATAGTCCTAGTGTTGTGTACTTCACTGGCTTTAATGCTTAAGGACCCTAGCATGCCATACTTGTGTTGTTTGCATGATATGTCATCCATTGGCATATGATTTCAGTGCTTGTACCTATGCCATGCTCTCATATATGTCGCTCTTTCAATGTGTTTGAAAATTAAGCTTTGTGCCTTGCTTGCCAGCAAACGAATGAGCATGCGTTCCTTGCTTTTTGTGCCTAAGTTATGGTGTGTTGGCCACTGTTTTGGAGCATCTTAGGTCTATCCATATGTGGTTTGATCATGTGAACATTGTAGTGCATGCCTCATGTGTAATACACTTCATTAGCTTTGATGCCTTAGCTTCTAAACATGCCATGCATGCATTGTTCACGTGATTGGACCTTGTGCATGCCACATTAGCATCGATAGAAAGGCATGTTGTATGTGTTGCATTGTGTTTGGATCGAACGTTGATCCAAACACAAGGAATATGGCATGTTTCGTACACAAAGTGATGAAACGTGCCTTAGTTTTTGGTCGCCAACCCTCTTGATCATGCATGATAGAGGCAAGGGCTCTTATGTGTTGTTTTTGCATTCACTAATAATGTGCGAGCTTGGCACTTTGGCCAGCATGCATGGAGATACGTGATTGGTGGCTTGAGAGCCGAGTACTATGCTCCTTTGAGCTTGAGAAATGATAAAGACAGTAGTTGCACACACATTTCCTTGTAAATGCATTGTTGTGCCTTTGTTGATCTCTGTTGCAACAAAGTTGAGGTTCTGGAAAATGAAGTGGCCGGCCGGCCAGTTACACTAGCCTGCCGACCACTTGTAGTAGCCGGCCAGCCAGTTGAGGTAGCTTGTCGACCAGTTAAAGTAGCCGGCCGGCCACTTGCTGTAAATTTGTCCAGAATGCTCCTGTGTTTGGGGCATATGCAACCTGAAATGTGTTTGATGTTTTGAGGTCACCACGAATGCAAACTGAGACAACTTATGGCAAGGCAAGTCATTTCCCGGGCAAAGTGAACCGAGCATGTATTTCTCCCTCGCCCTCGAGGCCATTTAACTGCTTTACTTAGTTGATTCATTTGTCGGTTTTGTAACTAATTAGTTAATATGTTTAGCTAATTTAATTCATTATTGTAATTTCTTATTTAGATTAGCATAGCTAGTTTCAATTTGGTTTGTAATTAATTAGCTTAGCATAGTTAATTAATTGATCTGTAATAAGTAGCTTAGCTAGCTTTTTTATTCGAGCCCTCCTACGATAGGGCATATTGTTGTTATAAGCGTGTGTGCATGTCTTCTAACCCCACATCTTTCTCCCTTTTATTTACCCGCTTTCAGTGGTTAGTTTTAGGGCATATCTCGGTTAGCATACCTTATTCTTTGCATGCGTCCATCATTCATTTGTCTTACAAGCACTGGGCTCGGCGCATCAGTCAAACTGCATTTTATTTCAATACACTTCTTTGAATACATGTATCAAACGTCGCATTTACATGCCATCTTAGATGCTCGAGCTTATTTTAGTTGCATTTTTGCATGTGTTGCAATAGACATTTTAACATAGCTAGGGTCATGCATGATTTCTAACTAGTTTTATGTTTTGGCTTGGAATACACTGTAAGTGTTTATGCTTTGGCATCCTTGCATATGTGTAAGTGACTACCATGGTAGCATGCTTGCCATGAGGCTATTTGCTTAATTGCTATAACTGCATGACTGCCTATAGATGAAGGCTTTATTGCTTGAATTGGAACAATTCATCAAAATGTGTGTTTTAAGCCCACTTGAAGTGGCAAATCATCATGTTTTAAGCCCACTTAAGGGTGGCAAATTCACATTTTAGCCTACTTGAGGGTAGCAACTTCAAACCATTTTCGAAAAACAAACATTGAATTGTTTTGTTCCAATTCAGGCGATCTAGTCTATACTTGTGTGCTATGCGCATCCCATAGTAAGTTAAGCTAATAACCGAAACAAGAACACATGTGTTTACAAAAACAACATATCATGTTTAGTAGAGGTCGTTCTCTCATCGGGCGAACGGGGGTGCTCATTTCAGGACCTTCCCCTCTCGTACCCAAGTTCCTGAGCAGAGGCAACTTTGGTGATGATGGACACGTGGCCTTAAGCACGAGTCAGGGTTTCCTAAATTTTCCAAAAACAAAATATTTAGGTGGTGACTCTGAAATCTGGCAAAGCAGTCCATGTTTGGTGCTTTTTGATTAAAATCGATTTTCCAAAACGATTTGCCGGATTTGGACTCTTTGGTGATTTATCAGTCTTACATTGCCCTTTGTGAAATTAGATTCAGAACCGTGATAGGAGTCCAAAATGTAGTAACTAGAACTACAATTTGCGCCTCTTCGAAAGGGGGGCGCGCGGAGTGAGTTCAAGTGGTCTACAGGTGTCTATAGGCGCCTACTACCGATCAATAGGTGCTTGTTTTCAGTGTGGCAAGACTAGACACACGATAAAGGATTGTCTCCTCAGACCCCAAAATTCCAACCATCCTACGACAAGTTGAGTCGGATCTGCTTCTATACCAGGAACAAACTTGAGAACTAATGCTGGCAAGGAAACCTTGAGGCAAGGTAGAGTTTTTGCACTTGTGCCAGGAGATGTTCAAAACACCGAGTTTGTGGTCAAGTATACTTCTTATTTGTGCTCAAAATGCATATGCCTTGATAGACTCTGGATCTACCCATTCGTTTGTGTCACATGCTTTTTCTTGAAAATTGACTAGACCCTTAGAAACTATGAACTACTTATTATCTGTGTCTGCACCATCTGGGGGTTCTACGACATATGCTTATTTCTACCCGGCATGTGATCTTTTCATTCATGATATACTGTTGTATGTTGATTTGTTGCCCTTGGATATTGATCATTTTGACTAAATATTGGGTATGGATTGGTTGACAAAATATCATGCTACAATTAATTGTGTTGCTAAATCAATTGTGTTTCGATCACCGAGGCTATCGGAATTTGTATTTTGTGGAAATCGTGTTGTTCTCCCTCCGTATTTGATTTCTTCTATGAAAGCTAATAAATTATTAAGGAAAGGTTGTCAGGGTTACCTGTGTTGTGTCTTGCCTATGACTTCAGATAGTATTAGTGTGGAAAATATTCTAATAGTCAATGAATTCCTTGATGTTTTTCCTAATGAATTACCTGGGGACTTAATTGATAAAGAGATTGAATTCACTATTGAAGTAGTACTTGGAACCCAGCCAATTTTTAGGACCCCATACAAAATGTCTACAACTAAATTGAAGGAATTGATAGTCCAACATGAAGAATTGTTAGACAAGAAATTTATTCGCCCGACCACTTCACCTTGGGGTGCTCTAGTGTTGTTTTTTAAGAAGAAAGATGGGTCTTTGAGATTATGTATAGATTACCAGGAACTGAACAAGGTAACTGTCAAGAACAAATATCCACTACCCCGAATAGTTGATTTGTTTGACCAACTTTAGGGAGCCCAAGTATTTTCTAAAATTGGCCATAGGTTCGAGTATCACCAGCTAAAAGTTAAGGCATCAGACATAGGGAATACTGCATTATGAACTAGATATGGGTAGTATGAATATTTAGTAATGTCGTTTGGGGTAACCAATGCACTTCCTGCCTTCATAAACCTAAAGAATATGGTGTTTGAGCCATTTCTGGATGAATTTGTTGTTGTGTTTATTGATGACATATTGATTTACTCTAAAAGCAAGGAAGAGCATGACATATTGAGAGAAAAGAAGTTATATGAAAAACTCTCTAAATGTGAATACTGGTTAGACAGTGTTACATTTCTAGGGCATGTGATTGACAGGGATGACATATCAGTTGACCAACAGAAAATTGAAGCCATTGTGAACTGGCTAAGACCAACAAATGTATTAGAGGTCAGAAGTTTTCTGGGATTCACTGGCTATTACAGAAGATTTGTAAAAGACTTCTCCAAACTTGCCATGACATTGGCATAGTTGACATAGAAAAATGTACCGTATGATTGGAATGATCAAAGAGTGTCTGCCTTCTACGAGTTAAAAACTAGACTAGTGACTGCACCAATTCTGACTCTGCTTAATGGTACAGATGGGTTTCAAATTTATAGTAATGTCTCATACATGGGCCTAGGGTGTGTATTAATCTAGAATGAGAAAGTGATTACATATGCTTCATGACAACTCCGACCACATGAAAAAAATTATCTGACTCATGATCTGGAACTTGCAGTTGTGGTTTTTTCTTTGAAGATTTGGCACCATTACCTGTATGGAATGACTTGTGAAGTGTACATGGACCACAAAAAGTCTAAAATATTTCTTCACTCAGAAAGAATTGAACATGAGGTAGAACAGATGGCTCGAATTGATTAAAGATTACGACTTATAGATTTTGTCCCATCCGGGGAAAGCTAATGCTGTGGCAGATGCTTTGAGCCAAAAATCGATTAGAAATTTGTCATGTTTGCTCACTGGTTAGAAAGAGTTGTTGTATAATTTGGAAAGAAATGAAATTGAAATTGTGTTGGGTGAACAAGGTGAAGTTTTAGGCGCTATATTTACACAACCAGCTATACTTGATGATATTAAAGAAAAGCAACTGCAAGATAAGTTCTTGAAGAAGATTGTTGAAGAAATTGATTTAAAACCAAGGTCAGGATTTGTGTATGAAAATAATGTGTTGAAATTTCATGGTAGATTTTGTGTACCAGATTGTTTAGAACTGAGAAAGCGTATTATGACCGAAGCTCATAATTCTAAATTTTTTAAGCATTTAGGAAACACGAAGATGTATCATAATTTGAAATAGAATTTCTGGTGGCCTAGAATGAAGAAATATGTTGTTGATTGTGTAGCTAACTGTTTGCACTGCCAACAAGTAAAAGTTGAATATCAACAACCTGCTAGACTGCTTCAGCTGCTTCCAATACTAGAATGGAAACGAGAGCATATCACAATGGACTTCATTGTTGGATTGCCTCACTCCTCTCGAGGTATGGATTCTATCTGGGTCATTGTTGATCAGCTAACTAAATCTAATCATTTTCTGCCTGTGAAAACTTTTTATAATGTGGACAAATTGGCTAACATCTATGTGAATGAAATTGTGAGATTACATGGAGTGCCCATATCCATTGTGTCGGATAGAGATTCAAAGTTTATTTCAAGATTCTAGTAGAATTTGCAACAAGCTTTGGGGACTGAATTGAGGTTAAGTAGTGCATACCATCCACAGATAGATGGCCAATCAGAAGGAATGATACAAACCTTGGAAGATATGCTCAGAATGTGTCTCTTAGATTTGCAAGAAAATTGGTAAGCTTATTTGCCGTTGGCCGAGTTTGTGTTCAATAACAGCTATCATTCAAGTATCAGGATTACTCTTTATGAGGCTTTGTATGAAAGAAAATGCCAATCTCCAATTTGTTGGGCTAAAGAAGGTGATAGACTACTATTAGGACTGGAACTTCTGCAAGAAAGGGCTGAGAAAGTGAAGTTGATATAGCAACATTTGAAAACTGCACAAAGTCGTCAAAAGAGTTATGCGGATATTCGAAGAAGAGATAGAGAATATGAAGTTGGTGACCATGTCTTTGTTAAGGTGCCTCCAATTAAAGGTCAGACATTGTTTGGGGTTAAAGGCAAGTTGGCATTGCGCTACATTGGGCCATATGAAATTATTGAGAAAATAAATCATGAGTCATACCAAGTGGCTTTACCTCCGATTATGGAGAACATGCATAATGTTTTTCATCTTTTTATGCTTCGGGCCTATTTTTGAGATCCACATCATGTCAATAAGCCAACACATGTACTTCTAAAGAATGATTACACATATGAAGAACAACCAATTCAAATTGTGAATTGCCGGATTAAAAGATTGAGAAACAATGGAATCTTGTTGGTGAAAGTTGATTGGAAAAATCATGGAGGGACATATGCAAAGTGAGACATAGCATAAGATATGATGAAAAGATATCTGGATTTGTTCCCTCTAGACCCAGCATTCTTTCGAAATGAACGTAATTCGAGTTTGGAGGACAAAACTCTATAAGGGGGGAAGACTATAATAACCTCGACCTTGATTAGTTTATAAGCCTTGATTAAGAATGCCTAACAAGTAATTAAGAGGAACTTCGAAGTTAATTGCATGTGGTATGTGTTAATTGTGTTTATATTTGTCCATGGTAGGAAATCTGTATGGCTTCCTATTTCGATATGCAAATTGAAAGCCTTTTCAGCATCCGAATGCAAAATTGACTTCGTTTATCTATTATTTTAAATTTTTAGAATTTTATGGTAAGTTTAATTGGATTTCGATTCGAAACTAATAATTATAATAAATTAGATTAAATTAAGTTAAGCCAAGCTTAATTAAATCCACTTACCAAGTCTATATAAGGCCTATACACACACTAGAACTCCATTTGTTCATCATTTTCTTGAGAAGAGAATGTGAGAGAGGGGGAGCTAGAGTAAGAGGAGTGAATTCAAGAATGAATGAAGGAATTGCTAGAGAATTAAAGGAAATTTGGAGAAATTGAGCAAGAACTCACTAGAATTAAAGGAATTGAGAACTTTAGGTAAGAAATTCAATCCTTAAGCTTTGTGTTTGACTCATTCAATGTATGTATTCAAAAGAATTAAGTAGATTAACATGAGAATTAAGCTAAGATTGGGGGATTGTAACTCAATTCCTACATGCATGCACATTTCATGGCAATTTAGAGTTGTTTTCAAAAGAATTCCCACATGCATGTTCTTATCCTGGTTTTGTTATAAGAATTCAACATATTTTTGAACAAAATATCTCATTTGATCATGTTTTAGAAGGTTTGAGTTCATAACAAGTCATGAATGTTATGATTTCAAAATTTCAAGTTTGACTTTGAACAATTCACTTGCTTTTGGGCCTTGATTTTGTGAAATGGTCTCTAATTCATAATGTTTTGCAAGTGTACAAGTGTTTTCTTAAGTTCTGGCCCAAAAGAAGGTGTTTTGATGCTTTGGAATTGAAGTTGGGAGCTTGGAGAGCAATCTAGAAATTCCAGAATTCGCACTCTTTGCTCGAGCGGTGGAGTCTGTGCTAAAGCGAAGAATGTGAGCTCTTAGTACTTTTGCAGAGTTTAGGAGTTGGCTCGAGTGGCATAACCTGCGCTCGACTAGCCACCCTTATTTTTGATCCTTCGCTCAAGTGTAGGAAGTTGCGCTTGAGCATAAAATGAGAGCTACCAAATGTTTTGCAGAGTTTTGCAGACAGCTCGAGCGACCAAACTTACGCTCAAGCGAAGACCTTGTTTACTCAGTCTTTGGCTTGAGCGACTATCGAGCGACCATCGAGTGTAAAAAATCATGCAACTAGTACTTTTTATAGACCTTGTAGACCGCTCGAGCGACCAAAGTTGCAATGAGAGAGAGAGAGAGAGAGAGAGAGAGAGAGAAGAAGAAGAAGAAGAAGAAGAAGAAGAAGAAGAAGAAGAAGAAGAAGAACAAGGGTTGCAAACAAGGAAGGTTTTTTGGGTGCTGTAGACGTCCCCGAACGTCCCGGAAGGGAAATCTCGTTTCGTTCATATGGGCTCACTACAGTTCAGGACTCAAATGTCACGGTCCTGTATCTAATCTGGCAGAGTGCAATGCAAGACCAATGAATCATCAAAGAGTCCAAATCCGACAGATCGTTTTTGAAAATAGATTTTTTTTAAAAGAAGTGCCAAACATGGATTGCTTTGCCAGATACAGAGTCGCCACCTAAATATTTTATTTTGGGAAATTTAGGAAACCCTGACTCGTTTGCCTAAGGCCACGTGTCTATCATCACCAAAGTTGCCTCGGCTCAGGAACTTGGGTACGATTGGAGAAAGTCACTTCGTGAGCACCCCCGCTCGCCCGATCAAAGATCGACCTCGACTAACCATGATATCGAGTTTCGAAAACATTATGTGCTCTTATTCCGGTTATTAGCCTAGATTTACTACGTGATGCGCACAGTAAACAAGTATAGACCAGATCGCTTGAATTGGAACAAAACATTTCATGTTTGTTTTTGAAAGTGGTTTGCTACTCGCAAGTAGGCTTAAAATGCAGATTTTGCCACCCTCGGGTGGGCTTAGAAAACATCGTTTCGCCATTATCTAGTGGGCTTAAAACTCGCAATCAATGAATTGTTCTAATCTAAGTAATCCAACCTTCACAGACAGGCATTCAGGCAGGTATATCACATAAGCACATAGCCTTATGGTAAGCACGCTATCATGGTAATCACTCACACACATGCAAGGATGCTAAAGCATAAACACTTACCGAGTACTCCAAGCCAAAACGGAAGCTATGTTAGATCCATGCATGTGATCCTAACTATACAGAAAGGAATGCAACTACAATAGGCTCGACTATTCTAAAGATGGCATATGAAATGCTACAACTAACAAGTATTCAACTCGGAATTGAAATACAATGCAGTTAGTACGATGCACTGAGCCCAGTGCATGCAATACAGATGAATGAATGAAAACATGCGAACATATAGATGCTAATTGAAACATGCCCTAATCTAACCATCATAAGCTGCTAAATAAAAGGGAGAAAGACGTGGGGTTGGAAGACATACATCACACATGCACACTTATTACAATTGTGCCCTCGCTCGGAGGGTCCGAATAAATAACACAGTCCGAATAAATAATTAACTACTCTAGCGAATTAAATATTGCAAAACCCTAATTAATTAACAAATTAACTAGGAAAGCAAATAAACTAGCATGCAAGCTATAAAATGGATTGCCCCAGCTCTTGTTCTGAATGATGAAAGATGCATGCATGCTTGCGTCGCCTTGTCAGTAAATTCCATCACAACACCTCGCCTCGCCTCGCCTCGCCCTTGTTTGCAACTGATCACAGAAACTTGCACAAAGCTCCAGAAGGCTGAAACTCCACCTTGGGAAGGCCACCGACCAGTTATCAGCATGGGAGGCCACCGGCCGACCACCCTTTGTGGTGGCGACCAAAGAGGGTGGTCGGCCTTCCAGAAAATCTGGTCGGCCGACCAGTTTCCACCTCTGGCTTCTGGTTTTTCTGGAACAAAGGCAAGAGAGAGAAAAGGCAATGTATTTTCAACAAATGTGTGCATGACCACTCTCCCCGTCCTTGCACAAGCTCAAGGGAGTGTAGTCCTCGATCCTCATGCCACCAATCATGCATCTCGATGCATGATGGCCGAGAAGTCGAATTGCATGACTCGATGTGAAATGAATGCATATATAAGCAAGTAAAGCCAACAACTCTACCATGGACAGTCAACGGTGACCGAGAATCGAGGCACGTTTCGTCACATGGAGTACGAAACGTCCCTCGTTTCCCGCGTTCGAACTAAACCCTACTCCAAACACAATGCAATATGCATGACATGCATTAATACAACTTTAACATGCAACCTAGATGCAATGCCACTGAATGACGCAAACATGCAAGGGATGACATGCAAACATGCTACTAGCATACACAATGCTATGAAATAATCAATGGCATACTCAATGCAAGATGATTCTATATGGCATACGAAATGCATATGAAGACTAACAAACACAATGAAACGAACAAGGCATACACAATGCAATGATCAAATCATGCAACAACGTGAACTAAATGGCATACACAATGCAAGATGGACTTAAACCAATATGAGTGAACCTCAGCCACACCCAAATCAATGGCCATACACAATGAAATTAGGCAAGAACACTCATGCAAACTTGCCCAACGCAAGGGACCGAACCTAAGCCACAAAGTGCAACCCTAATAAGGCATGGCAAGGGATGGAATATGGCATAGAATGGCATATGATCCAACTCTGAAATGGCATAAAAGATGGTCCCGAAACATGCAAGCACCTCACACAATGCATGCTAGATGGCCCGGATACCGAAACTAGTGAAATGGATTACACTATAAGTATGAAAAACAATGCTCAAATGATGGAACCAACCCCAAATAGTCCCTATGTAGACCAAAATCAGTGGCAAAATGTGTTGGGATGGTGGCTCGGAATGCATTCAAATGAAGCTCATGCAATGTTCGGTAAATGAGGCATACAAGCACAACTCTCAAATGCACTTAAATAGTGGAAAACATGGGAACATGGCACAAGTATAAGGTCTAAAATATCACTCTCGGTGATGC